TGTAACTACTGAATTTGGGGCGGTTTGGTTTGGGTTTTTTATGATGACATTTGCAAAACATGCTGTTCTCATTTCTTGGAAGGAAGTTCTGACTGATGCTGCTAGCTCAATGGGTGCCCTTGGCAATTTCAAAAGCAGGCATTTGCAACATTTTTACTCCGTACACATCACCAAATCTGTATTTTTCAAGAAATACAGTGGTAAGAGGTTGCCTTTGTGCGAGTTTAAAGCGTAAGATTTTTGGCTTCCTTTCCGCCAGTTGTGTGAAGGTGTTTGAAATTTATTGAAAACACACGGGAGGCAGTAACAAAACCGACGTGGGCACACGTACGCATCGCCCGCTGAGTGGAGGGTGCGGCTTCTCTCCAGCCCAGCGCTGGGCCAGCAGAGCTGCACCAACGCCGCTTCGGGAAAACCAGACACTTCCGGAGCACAGCTGCTGCTTTTTCTTCATCTTGACGACAACAGCTGGGTAAGCAAGCATGTACGTTCTGCAAAACTCAGGAACTTCTTACTGATCAATAGGAATTACTCACCAGTAGTTTACACGCATTTGAAACAGCTATTTTGAAATCCCACCCAAAACAAAGCTCCATGTTAACACAACTCGCTCCCTCGTTGCGGGAAGCGTGAGGCAGGTCAGAAAGGATACTGTTGGATTTCATGTCTCTGTGGATGATGTTCTTGGCGTGTAAATAGCTGCAAAAGAAACAGCAGAGCAGAGCCGTCAGGAAGGCTGTTTGCACAAATGCGCTACGGAGAAGTGACGCAGCAAAGGCAGCTCAGGGAGAGAAAGCAGCACCGCCGTTCCGTGTTGGTGTAAACCCTGAGAAAACTGGCTGCTGTCCTCACCTGCATGAAACCCGGACACTGCGCTAAGGTTTTTACAAGCTGCTTTAATTTTACAGTCGTGACACATGGCTCTGGCTTTCTGGGTGTCTGCCTGGAAACCTGTGTCCTGATCTACAAGACGGATGAGCGCTGACGGCATCAGCCAACGCCAGCACCTTCTACACTAGAGGCATTACAGCGTGTGCCCAAGGGGCAGCAAGGCGGATCTCTATCAAGAACGCTTCCAAAATCCATCAGAGTGTGCGAGCCTTGTAGCTGTAGGATAGGAAGATCCATCCCCTCACCTCACAGGGGCACCTCGAGTATAAACTAGTGTTTGACACTTCCACATCGCAGCGTTTACCACAGGGCAGGAATTCTACATCTAGAATAGCTGGTTAGTGTTCAGGTTGCTCAGCCCTGAGAAGAGAAGGCTGACAGGGGGCCTTAGTGATGGGTACAAATATCTGAGGAGCGGGAGTCAAGAGGAAGGGGCCAGTCTCGCTTTGGTGGTGCCCAGTAACGGGACAAGAAATAATGGCTGTAAGCTAGAACATGGGAAGTTCCACCTCAGCATGAGGAGAAACTTGTTGGCTGTGCAGGTGCCGGAGCCCTGGCCCAGGCTGCCCAGAGAGGGTGTGGAGTCTCCTGCTCTGGAGACTTTCCAACCCGCCTGGACGCGTTCCTGTGGGGCTGCCCTGGGTGACCCTGCTCGGGCAGGGGGTGGCACTGGGTGAGCTCTGGAGGCCCCTTCCAACCCCAACATCCTGTGATTTTACGATTTAGTGCATTACAGCAAGACCTCAAGCTACAGAAGAACTTAAAAGTACAGAAAAGCTGACTTAAGAGACTGGTGGTCTAACAAACGAAGGCAAGAATCCACGGGGTGGGGGAAGATATAAAAGAACGCGTACAACAGTGCTGCATGAAATATCCTTATATAGAAAAATATCAAAATATCCTTAGATATAAGGAAGAAATTTTAGATCTAAGGAAGAATTTCTTCCCCACGCGAGTGGTGAGGCACTGGCACAGGCTGCCCCAGGAGGCTGTGGATGCCCCATCCCTGAAAGGGTTCAAGGCCAGGCTGGACGGGCTTTGGAGCAACCTGGGCTGATGGGAGTGAGGTGTCCCTGCCCACAGCAGGGGTGGAACGAGATGATCTTCAAGGTCCCTTCCAACCCAAACCATTCTGTGATAAAATCTTTACGTGGTCTACGCCGCTCTGAGCCGTTACCACTTTAGCGCAGTAACTCCCCGTGTTGGGTTTGGGGAAGAGAAGGGAAGTGGCACTGCGAGGGGCGAGGCAGCCGCCGCCGTCCATCCTACTCACTCCATGCCCTGTGCCGTCTGCCGGGCGATGTCGATGAGCTGGAACATCTGGAACTTGGTCTCTTGAACGTGCAGGTGTTTGTACAGACTGCTTCCTTCACACCACTGCGTGACGATGGCCAGGTTGTCTTTAGTCATGTAGCCCATGAAGAGCAAAATGTTAACGTGCCGAGTCTTCCTAATAGAAAGCAGCAGGCAAGAGAAATTAGTGTCTTCGTTAAAAGTATTTCCAAATTTGTTTCAAAAATCCACTCCTGGACAAGGGAACATGTTACAGCTTTTGATTCCTAAACCCCAAGTTTCCTGCAAAATTTCTCCTTGGTGGATGTGTGTGTAAAGCTTGTCATAAAAAATAGTAAAAATATGCCACAGTCGCTGCTTTGTCTTTTTTTTTTTTACGAAACTCATCAGTTTTCTGTTTTTGAGTTAAAATACTTGCTCTCAGTTCCAAGGAAGTTATTTAAAATCAACCTTGAAGAAACATACGTCACGGAAATTCAAGGGTTTGGAAACTGTTCTATTTAGAATTAGTGACTGGAATAACCGAAATCACCCTGAAAGCTGTGAAGCAGTGACAGCTGTGGGTAGAAGTGTGAACCCCGGCAGGAAACTGAAGGGTTGTCGTACACTGTGAAGGAATTAGCAGACAAGATGATACTTCCCACATACTCTACCCGGTTTAGTTTTAGGGGGTAGAAGAGTGAACCCCGGCAGGAAACTGAAGGGTCGTACACTGTGAAGGAATTAGCAGACAAGATGATACTTCCCACATACTCTACCCGGTTTAGTTTTAGGTTTAACATTACAGATAGTTAACTGGACACTGCAAAAGCAGTGTCTGAAAGTAGGAAACAGGTGGATTAAAGTATATGCTAAAAAAAAAATAAAATTATGCTGTAATTTAATTAAAAGCTACAGTTCAAATATTCTGTTTGGTGATGAGAATTAATCCTCACCTTTTACCGCAAGCAAAATATGGCCTACACAATGATGGATGTTAGTATTATTTATCTGAAAAGATAAATGCAGAACCACCGAAAAATTCTGAATTACTATCACCGTCTCACACTCCTCAACAATACTCAGAAGTATCCCTATAAGCTATTAATATTATTATTATTATCATCATCATCATCTGGGGATCTGCTTCTTGTGCCCATCAGACACAGACTGGGGGGAAGACAGCCTGAAGGCAGGGCAGCAGCCAGAGGCAGCGCCCTGGAAGAACAGGTGAGCAAGGAAACTTCCCACTCACCTTAACACGGCCACTTCGTTTCGGAAAGCCTGGAACTGTTCTGGGGTAGGATCTACAACCTTTAGTATCTTCACTGCTACGTCTCCTGAAAATACATTGAATCATAGAAGTTATAAAAACTGCAGCTTTTTTTTTTCCTCCCCACAATAACATGAATATACAGCATACTCGGAATTCCTGCCCTGCGCACAGCGCGCCTCTGCTGACTTGTAGACTGGCCAAACTCTTCCTGCAGACACGGCAAACAACTCATTTCCCTGAATTTCAATCTAAAGGAAGAAGTCTTTAACCATTCACAAGCTGCCCTTCTGTTTTTGGAACCACACCTGTGCCTTTTGCAGGATACAGAGCTACGAAAAGGCAGAAGAGTTGCTGAACAGGCAGGGATCCCAGCGTGGGCGCAGTGTCCACACAGCATTTCAAGCACAGCCCCGCGAGAGTCCCTCGGCTTCCAAACAGGATCCAAAGTTTCATCGCTTTCCCTTTTCTATCCAGCTTTAGCACACATCCTTATACACCTTTGTATTTTTATACAATTAAGTTTATATATTGATTTTTTTAGATATATAGACTACATGCATGTAGTATATACACACAGATTCTTTTTTAACACAACCTTTATTTAAAAGAACAAACTTTCTAGATTTAAGGAACAGGAAGGATAAACCTTCTATCCAGAAATAGGAAAATCACAAGTAACGTGACTGACTGTAACAAATTTGGGGACTGTGGAACGCAGAATACTTTACTGCTCTTTAAGTTGATACATCACAAAATCTTCCCAAAAGGCTTCATTTGAATTGCTTTCAGTGTCGGTGCTTGCTTTAAATCTCAGCATCTCTTAAAGGGTGACACAGAGAGGAACAGATGACGACCCAGCACTATCTGTTGAAAGGCTGTTTTCAGAGAATGAAGATGTAAAAACCTCGACACGTGCACATCCAGAAGGCACCAGAATTAGAATCGGGTTGGAAGGGACCTTGAGGATCACCCAGTCCAACCCTTTTAGGTAAAGAAATCCAGTTCAAATGAGGTGGCCCAGCACCCTGTCAAGCTGAGCCTTGATTAACCAGACACGCACCCCTCAAAGCACAGCTGCCCTCCGGACTTGGCTTTTATTTCCGAAGGCTCGCTGCAAACAGCCCCGGGAACCCCACACCTCTGACTTCACCTCGATTTTCTACTGTGGTTTCCAGCAATCAAATCGCTTCGTTTAGCTGCCCCAAAATGTTTTTGTCGCTGTATCTGAACTACCAGAACAGGTTACGGCAAAGCAGCCGGTAGTTTCGCTAATTTGCACAGTGAACTCTCACTTTCTGCAATTCCAAGCACGCGACTTGCAGAAACACAAACTTTCAAATCTTTTCAGACCACACTGCAGACGGTAGTTACAAAAGGAAAGGAAAGCAGTAAATTGAACTTTGACTTTCCTGAGAAATCAGGCAAACTATAAACTGTTTCCATAAATAAGATACTGAACCACAGAATCCCAGGATGTTTGGGGTTGGAAGGGACCTCTAGAGATCAATCCCCTGCCCGAGTCCCCTTGGCAAAGCCGTGCTGGCTGCTCCTGATGAGCCTCTCATCCTTGCTGTGCCCAGAGACAGCGCCGAGGATCCCTTGTTCCATCCCCTTTCCAGGGATGGAGGTGAGGCTGGCCGGTCTGTAGGTACCCACCTCATCCTTCCTGCCCTTCTCGAAGACTGGGGTGACATTCGCTCCCCTCCAGCCCTCGGGCCCCTCTCCTGTTGCCCACGACTTAGGATCTTATCGGGTCCCGAGGCAGCTACAGAGCCATCCCCTGCACACCACACGGGGGTCTTGCTAAACTCATGCCCACCAACGTTCTGGATACACAGAGTTGCAAATGCTTTACTCAAGTATTAATAAGAAATTCTCATTTATTACCTTGATAAGTGAAATCTCACTTTGCCTGTTTTTCCTCTCAATTTCTGTGTTCATTCCATGTATAAAATGAAAAATCAGTTTAACTGTTCATGAATAGTACTTTTAGCGTAAGAATAGTCCTTCCATTGATGTTACCAGTATTCAGGTTTTAAGATATGTAAGTATTTATTCCTCCAAACAGAGTCGGGGAGAGAAGTTTCCAGATTTTTTTTTTGTCAGCTTCTTCTATTACAATAATGCTCTTCAAATTAGGGCCTGGAGGGGTTTGCGTGTGTTTCTTCTTAAATCACAAGCCCTGAACTTGGAAACTGGTTCTGTAGCTGCAGCAGGCCTCTTTTCAAAGTATTCCAGCTAACTCAATATCACAAACTCTCACATCGACCATTTTTTTTTCCCCTTAGGAAAACTCCACCATAAAAGCAATTTATGCTTATTTCCATTCGCTGCTACCTTGAATTAAGCATGCTAATTAAGCCACAAAGGTATTTAAAAAAAAATGAATCTAATTTAACACCAAGTTGTGAAATTTCCCAGTTAATTCTGTTAATTCAATCCTGCCAACAGAAGCAAAACCTCCTCAGAAAACAAGAGAAGGTGGTAATAGAGAAAACAATCCTGGCTTCCCTACAGGGAACACACCGAGGGCAGCGGCGAGATTCAGGTTCTGATGTCTGCTCTTCACCTTTGTTTTCCCACTACTAGAATTAGGAAATCGGTATTCCTCTCCCAGTCCCTTTGCGTGAGAAAGAAGCACAGGGCACCAGCAGAGCAACGTGACCTTGTTCTGGGCTGCCGTACCAGCATTTTGTGAAGGCGGTTACCCTTGTGCAGGACTCACCCCCGCACAGGACTCACTCACCCCCGCGCAGGACTCACCGTGCCATTTGCCTTTGTAAACAGTTCCGAAAGAGCCCGAGCCTATCCTGGTGGAAAGCATGACTTCGCTTGCTTCTATTTCCCAGTAATAACTGGAATCTCTCTGTCCACGAGGCCTCTGGAACAAAAACGGGCACGGCTTTGACTCCAAGCATCAAATCAGACACGCTACGTAACACACATGTCGAGAACGAAACAGCTTCCTTCACCGAGTCTGAGACGCGGCGACACCTGAAGGAGTTTTTGTCCCACCGTCCGGGCTTTGGTTTCTCATCTGTGAGGTTCGTTTACAAAACCCAACAACCAGACCCCACATTGTCCTGGATGGCTTGGGCTGCCTCAGAAACCACCACTAGGTTCTGCACTAGAGACTTAAACTCCAATCTCAGACCTTAAGAGCAACAAGTATTTTATAACCAGCCATTTAAAGGCATCCAAAATACTTCTGAAATCCACTGACTTGTTCAGAGCTGCAATACCAAAATTCGGGAACCCTTTTATATATTTGAAAGGAATAAACCAACCTCTAAGTGATTGACAACTGTGAGCCCTACTACCCATACTTTCATTTCTGAATCTCACAAGCCTTCCAAAACTTGGGGATATTATTCATTATTATTCCTTATCTATCTATCTATCTATTTATTTATTTATTTATTACTTTTTTTCCTTCCCCTCATCCCTAAGTTTAAATAAAGCCTATGAGGGAAAACTTGCAACTTGTTAAATCTATTTTTACCTGAGGTATTTTGACTAACTTGACTACGACATACCCGCTGTCTGTGGCAGCTACGGCAATACAGCTCAAACAGCGATCACAAGGCTAACCTGAAACACGCTAGAAATTATTAAAAAGTATAAAAGGCACAGTGCTTAAAGATTTAGAAAGCTAATCCTCGGACTTGTACTGAAAAGCCATTTCACAATACTGCCCGAAATGATTTCAATCCTGAACACGTTGTTCTGGGTATTTGTCACAGGAGGCAATGGCGCTCGCTTTCCCAAGCCAGTCCAAATCATGTTGCTGGTAGATACACACAGCGCAGAGCAATCCAAGAGAACTGTCGCTTTTATTGCCTTTTAAGTACAGAAATTTATGCCAACATACCACTACTCCCAGCCTAGCTTAACACACTAAAAAACAAAAAAACCAGAAAAATCCCATACTCACAATTTTATTTTTTTCTTGCGTGTTAGATCCAGGGGCTCTCTCTCTTTGGGCTGGGACCGGGGTTTTGGGCTGAGACCAGCCAGTTGGGCTCATGTTATTAGGACTCCCAGACAGAGCAGAGGGTGAGGCTTCAATATAAAAACAGAACACAAACTACTTTATGATTCAGAAAATAAACACAGAATAACATTATTTTATTTTGTTTTTTAAATCATACCTGATTCACTATGGCTTCGAATTGCATCCTAAAACAGAGAACACAGACAAAAAATAAATCTATGAGAGCATACAGAGTAACAAGCAGGAATAGTGCTCACATCATTCCTGACAGTTTTGCTCAAGTACAACACGGTACTGACCAACACCCAAAGGATGACAGCTCGGTTATTTTCCAGCTACTAGAATACCACACGCTAAGAAGACATGCAATTTGTGAATTCTTACAGAAGATTAAAAATAGGCACAGCAAAACGTATTACTAACCAAAACCAGAAACGAAGGAGGAAAAAAACCAAAACCTAACACAGAACAAGGATAAACACCCGAACCGCCGCCTGCACTCCCACCCCGGGGTTTTGTGCGCGCCCGCACGTCAGGTGTGAGCACAGCTCCTGTCGCGCAGCTCAAGGGGATACGGTCTCAGAAAGGTTTTGGGTTATAAGACAGAAAACTTTTAGAAGCCCTTAAAACACCCCAAGTCAATATATACAGTGTGAGCTATCTCTACTGCACTACTTCAAGCCCCCAAAAGCCACATCTCGTGCCCTAACACAAAGCATCTACTTTTCAAAACGTTCCCCCAAGGGCTCGAGTTTGACGCCACTCGGAAAAGCGCCAGCGATGCGACGCGGTTCGCTGGTCGGTGCGGTGCCACAACGCTCACCTCATGCCACAGGCACTGACAACACAATTCTACAGCCATGCACAAGAGAAACTAAGCTCTGACAAACAGCTTCTCACCTGCTACGTATTATCCCAAAGTACAAACGGGAAAGGTAAAATATCCAGGTACTGTGTGAGTACAAAGCAAGAACATGCACTACAGAAATGTTAAACACCGTCAAAGTTAATCAAGTCAATTCAAGCTTTCTAACTCATTAGTAGAATAACAAAGGTAAGATTGCACAGGGCAAAACAAGCCTACATCCCACCCGACAGTTTTCAGGTTAACTCAGAGTACCCTTCGTCAAGATCCCTTTGTGGGATACATCCTTGGAGCCAGCGAGCTGCCCTCCCCCAGGCTCGACTCCTACGGATGCTGTTTTTGCAGAGCAGACCTCAGCTCGACGCCCGAGCACATTAAAATCTGCATAAACTACCAAGGAAGAACCCCTGAGGGTTACTCCCGTTGTCCATTTTTGAGGACCACAAAAATCTTTAGGAACCTGAATTAATACCGAGCGATGGGTTTTGTCCATCAGCCTGAGAACGTAACTGCTCTCCAGCAAGCTGGCACAGGATAACTAAATAATATCAAGTTGCTCTCATTCTTCTGTATACGTAGTTCTTATTTAAGAGAAAAGTATTTTTGGACTTCAAGCCTGACGTGAATATTTTCTTTTCTGTTTAGGAATCCCAAAGCAAACGAATCAAGCCCAGCATTCTTGGATTCACCCAGCTAAAGTAAAACCGAAGCTCATCTATCGATTTGCCTCTTCCAATTAAAAGTCCTCAATGTTTAAGTATCAACATGCTATAAAGATTTTCATCCAATCAACTCCAGATTAAACATTTCAGGTGGACACTGCCATAGCTTACGAGTTATAGCAATCCTGTTAATCACAAGAAAACAAAAGGCACCAAGGAAATACCTACTCTTCCCCTCAAACAAAACCGTCTGCACCAGGAGCTGGGAGAAGCATTCAGGCTGTTATTCTAGGCCAACACAGTAAGAGATAAGAAGAAAAGAACAGAGGAAGTACAAAAAAAAAATTAAAGAAAAATAAATGTTAGGATAAGTGAAAGAAAAAGTAACCAGATTTGTTTGATATATGACAATCAAGTGCTGTGAAGCCTGAGTACGCACACCTGTTCCAGCCTGAGAGCTGACCAGTAGCTGTCCTCGGGTAAATCCCTTTCCTAAGGTCTTTCTCATGTCATACTAGAAGGCCTCTGCTGCCTTTGCCATGGTGTAGTTTTAAAAAAACCCCAAACCCCCAAAACATAAACAACTTTTTCCACAGGGCTTTAAAAAAAAGCAGCTATTGCCTTTTAAGACCCGACAGCGATTTTTACTCAGCCCCCATGACAGTACGAAAAGCCAGAAGAAAAAGCATTTGTGTCTCTGCTGCTCTGCACAAAGACAGAGAAGGCAACGTCTCCTGAAAGGCTTGTCACGCTATGAAGTTTGCCAATTCATATTCTCCCGAGTGCTTCGTTATTTCTCCTGCCATACAAGACAATCAGCAGTAAAAAAGGCCGTAACCCTAGGAAAATCGAAGGGAAAGGGAAGGTTCCTTCCCCCATAAAATGCAGGTGACACCAAGCTCCTAACCACAAAAGCTCCGCAGATCTGTGGCACGCTTTTCTTCGGCTCCAAAGCTCCAGGGGGCTTCTCCACCACGCTTCAGAGTCTCCCCGTGTCCCAGGAGTCTACCAGCCACCAGCTGAGGAGGCGAGTCCACGCGGTCAAAAGGGTTTTGCTTGGCCTGAGGAGTTTTTCAACTATTCCAGAGCAAAAAGCCAACAAACTGTGCTCTCTCTGAAACCCTGTCGTTCAGCGCTTTCGCTCTGCAAGCCCCTCCTGCCGCAGCACTCCCTCAAAACAAAAAAATAAAAATATAGGCCTGACTTCAACGAGTTGTCTCTCTCTACTGTCAGTCTAGAGTGAGGGAAAAAACCCCACGGTGCTTGAAAGCAAGGAACAGCAGAAATATTCTCAGATACAGATGGCTTTAGCACACAAGCCCAGAATTGCTGTTAATTCTGCACAGGTGTAACAAAAACATCTTGCCAGTAAGGTTCGACGTGGGTATTCCAACTCCATACTGACAGCACCTGCAGCTCAATTTTAAAAACCCCACCAGCCTCCCAACTAATCCAGATTTTTAAGATGAAAGAACATTTTTAGACATGTCTACTAAGTGTTTCCTCAGCAAAACTGTGCTTATTTTCTTTTTGGATCTGTGAAACTCGACTGTTAAGCTACCCCACATCTTTATAGACACCAAAAATCAACCTAAAACTTCAGCAAAGTTGATACGAGAACGAGCAATTCACTTCCTACGCAAATATTTCTTCATCAGCTAGCCAACTGTGGCAAACAGTAAGCAAATGAGAGTAAGCAAAGAAAACCCAACCGGTGGCCAGTCCCAATTCCAGTTTAACTTTACGCTGTTCCCTCCCTGCCAGCGTTACCTCAATTATCCGGCTGTCCACGGGCATCGTCGTGCTGACCATATGGACGTTCGGTGTGGACGTGGATCGTTGTCTTTGGGAAAGAGAGCCCTCGGAGGAAGGATTCGATGTGTTGAACGTGAAGGCATGAGGTGTAGAATACCTGTGCTGGGAACTGGGAAGGAAAGAGAGAGAAAAAAGAGGAGCTCTGGTTAATTTTTTCCCCCTCTAGCCATCGAAAAATGTTCAATGTAACGCGTCCAGAAGCAAGACACGCAGAATCCCAATCGGAGAAAAAGCTGGGATGCTAATTGAACCTTTGGGTCAGTTGAATCATTCCCAGTTCAATTTGGGAAATAAATAAAAAAAAAAAACTTTAAGATCTCAACAGCTCACATACTTTTCACCTAAGTCCTGTTTCTGCTGTTACAAATCTTGTCACAATCCCCAACGAATCACATGCAATACACTGGTAAAATAATAGCTCTGCTGGATTAATTTGGGTCTGTGAAATTTAAACAAACCGCTCGTTTCAAGCCTGCTGACCGCCCAGCTTTAGAGCCACTCCTGCTGCCAAGCCCTGAGTTTGTAAAGGTTTGCAGGACTGTTCAATGGGTCGCCCAGAACAGCCAGCAAGGAAGTCGTGACACCCAGGATCAGCTGAAGGGAGGCCAACGCTAAAATCCAGTTCAACAGAGAATTACGAATCACAGCCAAGGTCACTCGAACCTTCATTACCCCAAATCGCACATGGGTCTGAACTGAATCAGCCAGCCTTCCCAAAAAGCCCAAGAAAAGCCCTATCAGGTTAACGAGCCATCGTCCAGCAACGCTGCAAACAGAACAAAACAGCAAAGAGAACGCAAGACCAGTTTCTGATGCAGTTCTCATTAAAACAAGGAAAGGGATGCACAGAACCCCTTGCGATTCGGCCACTCGGCCACCTGCTCTCTCCTGAATAGGCCAAGATTTTTCAAAGGGATGTTGAAAAAAACCAAAGGAGGGCCTGCCTTCTTCAGCCTCCAGAATTTCAAGGAAAAGACAGGCACACATGAGGATCAGGAGACAGGGCCCTTGGAAATTTCATTCTAGCACTGAAAACGACAGGAACGTTCTCTTTAGGTCTCAGATTTTTCTTTAAGAAGAGCATAATTTCAGTTTTCACTGTTCCCTCTCTAAACTTTCATCTGTCATCATACCATCAGAACCTTATTTACGTATGTGTGTCATGAAAAACAAAGAGTCACAGAAGCTTACACGTACAATGCCTGAGCAGATAAAAGAAAATTCACAGCAATACCAAAGGGAGCCTCCAACTTTCTTAGGCAGGAAAACAAAGGTCTCCCGAAAACCTTTAATATCCTCCTTTAAAAATCTTTAGACTAAAAACTAAAACCACAAAATCCCAAACCAATGTTTTGCTTGAAGCTAAGAACAAGAAAGGACACCGCACATTATCTCTAACAGAGTGGTGCTGCATTACCCCAACCTTCCGTAGGATGGTTCTACTTTGGAAGAGTTGGGGGCGCTTTGGGTTTTTTTGGTTTTTTTAAACAACTGTATTTCCCAAACCAGAAACGACAGGAAATACTAGCTTACCTAACAGGTATCCGGGAGACAGACTCCCGCATCCGTCTCATTGTCAAGGGAGGTAGTGCAGGGACACCACTGTCACTGATATTTGAATTTGGGAACAATCTGAAATATCAACAAAAACAATTACAATTTCAACTGCTACACTACCTCCTGTACAATGCTTTTTAAAGCTAAAAATTTAAAGGGCTCTCTCTTTCCGGCATAATTAACTTCACAAACACATTCCTATCTTTAAACAATGTTTTTCCCTCTGTGGACGGCATCACTGAAAATTATGCCTTCAGAGTCCCAAAGAAAATTTCCATGTGTTCTTTCTAAACTTACAACACACACCTTCTTACATCAGACCTTGGATTTTCCTGACAGGGTACTCGACACCAAATTTTTTTCAGTTCTATTACACCCAGGTAGCACCAAGCCATCCTGCACCCTTACGACTAGTCAACGTAAGAAAATGCAGAACTATGTGACCAAGGTTAGTTATTAAAAAAAAATAAAACATATATAATAGCTAGACACATAAATTACAGAGTTAAACGCTTCGGCATACAAGTTCTTCTAACGTAACAACTGCCGATGTTTTCTAACCAGTATTAGGAAAGGATCAGTTTTCTCACCACGCTGTGCATTTTCAACACGGGCTCAAAAGCTGTGGTAGCTCTAAACGCTCACACTTCCAAGAGCTAAAACCCAACAGAACCACGCCCTTCTTTTTTTCCCTCCTAACAAACGTGCTGTGCAGGAAGAATCACTCTCACTCTGTTAAAACTGAGGGCGTTATAGCGACTGCGTTGTCATTCAAGATCTTGGCTTGTCCCAGAACATTAAAATTTACAGGAAGAACAGAATGCATTCAGTGGAACGGCCGCCTTCACCTGGGGACAGACCATCATTGCTGGCTGCTCTAGGAACTCCGCTCACACGCTCGGCACCCCGACGACAGCGACCGCGCTGCCCAACAACCTGACCTCAGCTCTGCGGTAAGAGATTAAAAAACCAACCAAACAAAAAAAACCACCACCACTCGTCTGCTCAGAGCGAATTCCCGCTGCTAGGAGAAAGGAGCAGTCCTTACAAGAGCTGCCTGATGTTGCTCCAGTCGACACACATGGTCGGAACTTTCGTGCTGCAGTGCTCGTGGAATTTGTAACCGCACGTCTGACACCGAAACCCATTTAGCAGGAACTTCTGGCAGATGTCACAGAAAGCAAGCTTGAGAAATGTCTTCCGAGCCTAGAAAACACATTAAATCATCAATCCAAGCCCTTCCTCGCTACCTGAGATGAACGTCTTCAGAGCTTGACATAAAACAAATACTATGTTCAAATGCACTGGTGCCCCCAAAGTGCTACTGAACTTCACACCACACCGTATTCTCACATGTATTTCCAGTTCTGTTGGAAACCCGTCAAGTCTACATTTAGGGCTTTGTCCACCTGAATTTTTAAATTTTTTTTAAAAGGCATTCTGTCAAATTTAAAGCCTCTGACACCTAGGAATTACCAAACATCAACAGAACTCTGGCATTTTATTGCAACTTGATATTTAGCCAATCTGGTTTGTGGGGAGTCAAATCACCGGTTCTGAACTCCCCCACGTTTAGAAAGCCCAAAGGTACCTAATGCCTAAAACGCTCTTTGACTGAGCACACAGTTCATGTAATCAATTTACAACAAAATCAGAGAATGTTAAGGGTTGGCAGGGACCTCTAGAGATCATCTAGTCCAAAAAAACAGAAGAGAAAAAGCTTACAAAATTATGTGTGGTGAGCGGAACATGATCAAGGAAGTCCACTTGCAGCTCCTCTCCAATCAAGGAGGCAGCATCCGTATTCCAATCCAAACGCACTTTTTTTCTGAAAGAGAAAACGGGACAACAAAGTTACTTGGGAGACAAAACGGTGGCCTCATCAATGACCTATGTCTTGTGAATTTTCTTCAGTAAACTGAAAACAAATACAAAAAAGCGTGGCTAACCTCTTTATAGAGCGAGCGACATTTCAGCATCTTTCACTTAAACAAATTAGAAGCAACTTGGAAAACGTAGCCATTCACCTCTTTTTCTGTTTATTTTTTAATGCGTAAGTCATTTAGAGACACGGATTATTTGAAATAAGACACCTAGGAGCTGTAATGGAGTCACAGAGGCATCCTTACAAACAAAAGAAATCATGAACAGAAGGCTTAGTGACGTGAAAGCCGCGTCAGGTGCTTCGGCACCGACGTCACCAGTGCCCCCAGAATGGACTCAGTCACACAGAGATGTGAACCCACAAATGACTGTCTCTTGCCTGGGGCTGAGGAGAGCATTAAGCCCAAGCCTTACGAGGTGTGAAGTCAAATGTATTAACTCCATGAGATACCTTCATTCCCTCAGCTTGTAAAACAATCATTTGGGATTTAATAGCAGCATCCCTGGTCCTGCAAAAAGTAAGGAATATCTGAAGTCGACGACACCGAGCTGTGTGGCGCTGTGGACTCACTTGAGGGAAGAGATGCCA